CGCCAACTTTTTGCCGTGCCCCTCACGCAAATTTCTCGGACCGCCATGGGACCTTAGTAATGCTTGAAGTGCTTCCTATGACTTAGTGAATATTCGTTTACAGCAGAGCCCAGGAAGAAGATTTCGAATCATATGGGTTGCTTAGCGACCTACACTCGAAAAGATCATGATCCGAATTTTGACCTACTAATTTTTGCTTTCATCAGACCCATCCATAATCATCATTATTAAGAAATCACATATACGGGGCTGGCATATGTCACTTTTCCCATACGCTTGCATCCCGCTGCTATTGTTTGAATACTCACCTCAACTTCTCCTCATTCTTTCGCCATTCTCGGATGGAGCTTTCTGCCACGTTGTATTCTCGTCCAGCTGCTCTATTACCATTTCCCTTGGCAAATTCAATGATCTCCAGCTTTTCGTCAATGGAGTACTGCTAAACAATGTGGTAAATCTATCCTGTAGCACATTGTTTTGGAATTTCCTTGATAAAAAAAGCACCTTCAGCGTCCTCGACGGTGCGGCGGATGTGCTGTCCTCTGAATTCTTCCGCTTTCTTGACTTCCTAGAATTTCGTGTGGCTCCACCCGCCATACCTGCACTTAAGGTTTTTGAGGTGACAATATGAGAACGAGTAAAAAGCAAGTCCCGAGCAATGCCGAATAGTGTAACAGAAGTTAGCTCTAGAGCTAAACCGCAGAATGATCAGAAAAATCAGAAAACTTTGATTTCGATAGGGAACAAATTTTGTAGTATCGGTCTATCCTTTATACTATGCAGAACTCTCGATTTGTTTGCTTTTTTCTTGCATTGTGTCAGATGAAACCAAAAGACAAAGCGAGAAAACAGGAAAAGAGAAAGGGTTCAAATCTATGCTAGACCCGCAGCCCTTTTCTGTCTTTGTAAAGCAACTTTAGGGGATGCGTCAGATGATACGATTAGGCTTTGGACGTTTTCTCGAACTTTAGGGTCATATTGGCTTCATTACATTTCAGAGAAACATTCGTGAGGTCTGTTCGTTATTATTAATTAGACTTTCAATTCCTGTGAGCTAAACTTTGAACGAGGAGTTCCAATTTAGCAGGTTTGACGTAGATCCCAGAAGTTGAGTAACATTGTGTCAACCCACTTTGGTGTCCAATGTAATATATGGAGAACAGTGAAGCGAGTGTTTCTAGTAAGAATGGGAAGACCGATAAAAAAAATATATTAGGAAAAATACTAGCTACATACATATAAGCTCGATCTTAGAAAGCTACTCTTTACGGAAGTTCATGATTAATGGAGGATTCATGAGAAAATAACAAACTCTTTGCATAATTTTACAGCTTATACAATTCCCTTCTCACTAGGATTGCGAATTTTGTGAACTGAACTCTAACCATTTTCCTCCAAGAAGCTCCCTATAGTGGGTGGGGCGCCGGAAAAAAAAGCATACGCATTCCCGCTATAACAAATGTGACTGGCAGCAAGTGCACCTGGACGTCGTGGCTCCCTAGGAGCCACAAAGAGCAAGCGAATAGCCAAAAGCAGCTAAAAAAATTTTGACTTCTCGTTTTTAGAGAGCTTCGCTAGTTAAAATGCTTGGCTTTAGCCTTTAACAGTATGAACGAGAAAATGCTTGGGCTGCATCTAAAGAATAAATTCAGAACCGACCAAAATTCTTATTCAGCCCTCAGTACATCACCACACCTTGAGGTCTAAAATCCCAAAAATATTTCCGCTAATCAAAAAGGGACCAAACTTCGGAGGCATTTGTTTTACAAGAGTAAGAAGATAAGTTTTTGGTATGATGAGGTT